TTTTTTTTTTTTTTTTTTTTTTTTTTTTTTTTTTTTTTTTTTTTCAAACATCATTTTCTAACACGCTGCAGTGCAGCTCATTCAATTGAGCTTCTTTCATTGTAAGCGCCACCCCATGTATATGTATACGCGTGTCGCTCAATTTCACGCTTCCTCGTCACGGCGGAGCGTTGAATTGTTCTATACGTACATGTACACGCACTTTCACGGTGAGTATTTTTTTTACTTTTACTCTATATTGTCGCTGTCTGTGATGTTGTGTTGTTGTTTTTTTTTTTTCTTCTTCTCACGCACTCGTCATCTGTACGTTCAGCGAACAATCCATTGTAGTACATACAAACTGGAGAATCTAAGGTGGAAGCGCCCAATATCGCGACATCAGAATCAACGCTCGTTTTCAATTTACAATGGACAAAAAACAAGTTTTTTTTACGTAGCTCTAGTTTTTTCCCTATATCGATTAAAAAAAAAAAAAAAAAAAAAATTTTTTTTCAATTTTTCATCGCAAATAGTGATAAAATATTTGTTCAGGAAAAAAGATGCAATTTCTTGGGGAAAAAAATTTTTTTCTTTGAAAATCATTTGAAAATCCGTACAATAATTTTACGCAAGTCTGCCCCTTGATAGTGTATTGTGTTTTTGGGTGTACATCAAAAAAAAAAAAAAAAAAAAACTACATATGTCAAAAATATTTTTCAATATTCTATACCTGCGTGTGCAATGTTTCACTTCATACGGTGAGTGGCACTTTAATACTTGGTGTTACCGTGGAGTAAGTACTTTTCTTCGCGGCTGATGACAGATCGGCGCCGCGTTGCGTTTCCATCAGCGCACAAGTGACGAGGGGGTAAGGGCTTTTTCAGTGTTTACATCTTCGCGCGTTTGAAATACACACATTCATTTTCCAAGGGAGAAGCGCTGATTTCGGTAGCGATAAATCAACTGGCTTTTTAACTCGTCGCGTGCAAGCGTTTTACGACAACCGGGGAGTGCGACTATATGTGTGTATCAAAAGGACAACGAGCGCCCGTGTATAAATATATCAGCCAGTGGCGCCGGGGATGCCTTTGGAATCCGGCCTTTTTCGGAAAGAATATACTCTCAACTCGCTGGTATGTATATGCATTAGTCGTTCGAGAGAAAGAGAGTATGTGCGTCAGGGTTTAATTGAGTCGAAAGTCTTTTCGAACCAAGAGGTTTTTTTTTTTTTTTTTTTTTTTTTTTTTTTTTTTTTTTTTTT